AAACCTGTCAATTCTTTGCCATATCGACAGACCGAAGGGCTAGAACCCAAATGGCCGCTGGATCGGAAAAGTAAAGTAAAGTAAAGTGTGTGTGGGTGGGTGCGTGCGTGCGTGAGTATTGTTTGCAGGCGTATTTAATACTATGTGCCTATAAAATTGATTTGTAATTCCATAATATGTTTCATGTTAAGCGCATAGAGCATTGCATATAAGTCAATATGTACTGTATAAATGCAATCCATTATTATTATTATTATTATTATATCCACTGGTCTCTGTTACTTGTTTATCGTCAGGCTATCCAGCGGGTCTGTACACTCTGAATATGAACATTTCCGGCAAACTGAATCGGACGAAGCGCTGTGAGGACATCGTGTGTGTCGATAAGTCGTGCCAGGAGGTAAGCGGCCCACATCACTCTCTCACAGGTAGTGAGTGGTTGGCGGATGCTCTGGTGTGATGGTGTGCTTCTTCTTTCCTATCAAACGTCAATTGTCTTTATCTCCCCTCCTTCTTTTTTGTGTTTGTTACTCTCTTGTAACACCTCTAATCTTCGGCACACTTAAATGACCTTATTGTGTTGCAAGTGCCGTAAAGCACCTACTAAAACTATAAAAACTCTCACAGATGCTCTCTGGGAGTTGATGAGTTGTGTGTGCTGCTATAGCGTGTTCACTTTCGTCTGTCCACTTAAAAAAAATTCTAGCTCATTTATTAATTTGTGCGTGTGTTCCTGGAGAGAGGTACCAGAAGTCGCCACAGACTGTTTTGAGCTGCGGGATGATAATGACAGAAATTCACTTTTTAAAAATAAAAATGTGTTTCCATTAAAAAATGATAGTTTCACCATTTTTTTAACAATGTGTTAAAAGGGTTTACATTGATTTAACTTTTTAATATTTTATTTTGAATTATTTTTAGGGTAGGATATTCAAAACAAATTAAAGAAACCTGCTTTTAAAAGGTGTTAAAATATATTTTTAAAGCCCGTTTTCTCTTCCCTGCTATGTTGTACCATTGAATCGTAATCATCATATTGATATCAGCTGAATGCCATATTTAAAATGAATTTTCCATGTATAAATACATTTGAAAATTTGAATCATCGTTTTTTTCAAGCTTGTATGTGTTCTAAACTTAAAAGCTAATTTTCTCAAGATTATATCTTTATACCCTACCTTGCGAAATGTGCAATATCTAAAAAACTACTTGAGATGTCTCCAAAAAGTAAACAAAGGCTGTGTTCAGTAGTAAATTTCCTACAAGGTACAACCCTTAACTCATAATGTCAAAATCCAACTTTTGGTACCTTTTATTCAGGCACACACACATTTTTATCAATGCCCTGGAAATTTTACATGGCAGTTCTGCTGGTCAGAGACCAAACCTGGGTTGTTGGCGGGTCGTCCTTATCTCCCCTCCTTCTTTTTTATGTTTGTTGCTCTCTTGTAACACCTCTAATCTTCTGGCCCTCATATGACCTTATGCAGTTGCGAGCGCCGTAAAACTTCTACTAAAACAAACAAGAGACCAAACGAAAATATTATAAAAAAGATCTTGATCCAGTAATTAAAAAGTTTTTCTATTTGGGCCCTATATTAAAAACCACTCTTTGGATACACACACACAATCACTGAAATAAATGACTTACGGTAACCATGCCATCAAATTGCTCATTTTGAGACAGTGACTCCACCCTGCCCCCACATATCAGTGTAAGCTTGTTGATTTCATCCCACAGCTGTCTAGATGTCTCCAAGTGAGTCTGGAAAAGCACTCACCCTGTCTCTTGATTTATGTTTCATTGGTGGTGTAGAAGTATGGTCTTGTGTAAACTGTGTAAACTTTGAAATGTTTCAGGTGTATCTTTTAAATCCCCCCTTTTTCTTACCTGCTTTAGGTTAACATCAAAGAAAATGTGTCAAAACCTCAGTTTCAAGTGACATTTATGAGTGGGCTTTTGTATTCTGTTGGTCATCCAATTTTGACCCGTATGCAAAGATCTGAGAAGATTGAACAGAACAATTTCATTTTATTCTTGTTTCTTCTCGGTCAGATGCAAGTGAACAGTTAGCTCAGTTGGCATCATACTGGGTTATTGTGCGACCGGCCCATGTTTGAACCATCATTACCCAGCAGGGCGGTGCCACTGACTGAAGTGTCTTTAGGCCATTCCCAAAGGGGGGACATTTCTCGTTCTAATACACAGTAGAATTGTAAATGGGCTGATCCAACAATGTCATGCTCATAACTGTGTCTGAACTACAACAGGGAACTGCTACTTTTTCTTTCCTAATCCTTAATCCTTACTATCGTCATTTTCCTCTACTTCTTTTGTATGTTTGTCACTCTCTTGTGACCCACTATTTCCGGGGTGCCTTGATAGTCGAAGCAGACTTTGTGCTGTTGAAGCTAGAGAGGTGAGCAGAGTAAGCCTGATTCCCTGTAAGGACTTCTCTGTCGACATCCACCCCTTGGCGCTCATATGACCTAATGCAGTTGTTAGCGCCGTAAAATCTACTAAAACTTTAAAAAAAAAAAGAAAAAGAAGGCTGATAAAGACTAGGCATAGATGGGAGAGGGAGGCTTATTATCATAATAATTGTTTTGCTAATTAGGCTGATCAGGACATGGGATCTGTCAGAAGCCAGGCACTTTCCATTTTTTAAAATTCATAAACTGCACGGACACAGAACTCGTTTTACTCTTTCTATTTGTGGTCAGATCAAAGGTCGCCTAAAAGTCCTCGAGAACCCGCACTTGGGGCAGTTGGACGAGGAGCAGAAAGACTTGCTTCTGTCTATGTACGACCACTGCTTGGAGTGCGGAGAGCTCAAATGTCCTTTCTACTGGTGCAAGAGAGTTCCCTCCAGGTGGGAAGCTTTGAGTAGAAATATTGCTTCAGTCTTGTTCTGAGAGTGAGAGAGAGGAAAGTTAGTACTGTAAGACAGCAGTATGATGAATTGCTTCAGTCTTGTTCTGAGAGTGAGAGAGAGGAAAGTTAGTACTGTAAGACAGCAGTATGATGAATTGCTTCAGTCTTGTTCTGAGAGTGAGAGAGAGGAAAGTTAGTACT